AAGCTTAGTCTTCTCACATTCATGAAGTCTAATGATGGGTATACTGTAAAATCCAAGTTTAACGGAACCTCCGGCACGATTTGAACATCCATTGACCCAGCAGGAGATGACCATTTTCAACTTTATCACGACATTAACACGTTTCAGCTTCTTTTTCTATTGTTTTTCCCACAGCATGCCAACACAAATGGCGCCGGGTCGGCAAATCCCCGTATGTAGTGACGTCATGTGGGAACTATGTATATGAAAACGAAAAAAGACAAAACGCCAGGATCACAGAGAGCGCTAAACCATGGTGTTTTTAAAGACCAAAATATTGAGAATGTTCAACGAGAGACAAAACAAGATGGAGCATATGCACATGCACTTCCATGTTCAGTCTATGGGGGAAAGGTTAACATAACAGTTTAGGATTATACCCTTGACCCACAGTAGAGGACTCCATCTCTTCCACAGTGAGAAACGGTCGAATGGTTTCCTAAACAGCCAGAGTTTGTCCTCAGCACACCTCGCTCCTCCTCCTCCTCTGCTTCTGCTACAGTCACAGCTAAAGTGCTGATGGTCTGAAGCTAACAGCTGTTGACTCGCTCTCAGTGCGTCCTGTCCCAGACGTCTCGAGGATCCATCCGGAGACAGGTGCGAGCTGCGCAGATGTTGCTTTGTTTGGGCCGTCACACCTGCGCTTTACAAATATATGTCTTTCATCCACAAAGCTGAATAAAAATGTGTTTACTACGGGGTTTGGGAACACGGCAGCTTGTTACAGCAAATGAAGGCACCACTCTCAGTGTTCTGACATTGCTCATACTCAGGCTGCAGAATTAATCACACCCAAATCACAAAGAAAAGAGGGACTAATGATAAGCAAAACATCTTTTATATTTGGGAACATTTCTCTTGATTTGGAATAAGCCAGTGTCATTTGTCTTGTTGTCGTGTTTTCTAAAAACTTTTGAGACGTCTCTTCTTTTTCATAATTCTCATAAATCGACAAGGTGCTGCAAAGTCTTTTCACACAAAGTTTTTTGTGAATAAATATAAAAGATACTAAAATTCAAACGTTTAAATAAAAGAAAACAGGAAATTCTGCATTTTTTAAATATTTCTATACCATCTCTTTAGAACTCTACAAACATTTTCTGAAATGTGTGGGAATAGTGTACGAGGCAGTCACTTCAATTGTCTTTCAAACATACAGAACATTGAAAATGTAATTGTTGTGTTGAACAGAAATGTCACAATCATATATTTTGCCACAATCATGCAGCTTAACAGCAATAAAGTGCCATGTAGTAAACAGAAGTATTAAAGCCATTTTCAACTTCATGATTGAAAGCACTGGGGTGTTCATCGCTGCCCAGAGAATCGACCCAACATCGTGAATTTCTTGACTGAGAATAAACCTTTTTCTGGCGGCTTGCCTCATACTTACAGTACAACACTGTGGCCCCAATGGTCACTAATGGCGTCTCTGAAGAGAAAAGTAAATAGTAATGAGTATCTCTACAGACATGCACTGAGCAGTGCTGCAGAACGATCCTCTTTTCGGTGAGTTGATCTGCCATTATTTTCAGACTGCAGCTACAGTCTTTTATGACCTGTCGAGGGACTAACAAGCACGAACTGAGATGTGACAGCTTGAGCCTTTTGGCTCCAGGTAATTGTTAAAGAACAATTGGAAAACGTGTATTAGTCCAAATATTGCGTATACATATGGTGCCACAGTGGTTAGCACTCTCCTTCTCAGAAAGAAGGTCCTGGGTTTGAATCTCAATCAGAGCAGGGTTTCTCTGAGTATAGTGTTTTCATATACTCCACGCATGTGGAGGTTTCCTCCAGGTGCTCTAAAAACCACTAAAAACATATGCAAGAGCTCAAATCCTCCAGCTCCGGTCTTGACCAAGAGCATCACTGGGGATGGGTCACCGCCTGGGGATGGGTCACCGCCTGGGCATGGGTCACCGACGACCACTGCTCCTGACAGAGGACCTAGTCACACTGTAGGATGAGTGAAATGCAGAGGACATGACAAATACATGAAGTACCTTAACCACAATCATAATCGTATCAATAATGCTAATTACTCCTTCATAATGTCTTTGTGGAACATTGTGTATTTTTCTTCCAGACATTGTATTCCCCCCGTCCACAGTGCACACAGCACTAACTGAGTGGTATGAAGGGAAAATGCTTGTTTTGTGCTTGAATCAAAAATGGCTTTGCTTCCACTGACTTTAAAACCCAGCGGCACTCTAAATGTAAATGTGTCGTGTTATATAAGTGATCATCTGTTTCTCCGTCACTCTACATCTCTGCTAACAAACACCCATTTAGCAGCCTAACCTTTGCTTCTGCACTAAAGAGGGAAATGCTTAGTCAACAAACCTATTAACCTTTACATGCATTTTGGTAGTTTAGCCGATCCCGAGCTTCGCTGCTGCAGATCCTTGTGTTTCAGATCAGATCATAATAATCTAAAGCTTTGTCTTGTATGCAACTACTTGAGGAATTCTAAAGACATATAAATTATAATAATAACATATTTTAATTGAACAGAGGGCTTTATGGATTTGATCAAGCTGCATGACTTTACTTGATATGGTCATTCTAAGGAAATCCATAGATCCATAGAGTTCAAAGTGACAGAAAAAATGTTATTGGGTAGGTAACCCCATCGAAACAAATGCCCATATAAGGAAATTGGCTTCTTCCATTCTACATCCATGGTGACATCCACACTTGGCTCGTCCACTGCCAATATCCGGCCTATAGAATTAGCCTACTGGGGCCTTTTCCATTAGATCCATTGTATAGTTATAATATATTTATCAATCTATGACCATATATTCAATGTTCTATTGTATACAAATTAGTTGAGACTGTAATTTGAGACCCAGCAAGTTAGCAGTTAGCTGTAATGTTATGTAATGTTAATGAGGCAAACCTGAGGAATACAAAACAGCGCAGTCCTCAGAAGTCCTTCAGAGCATTGGGCTGCGTTCAGGTCGTATCGATCCATATGTACTTACGTAACTGCAGCCGTATCACCTCCAAATGAACTCACCTCAAACTGAAGACAAAGACTTTCACTTCATTAAAATTGAGATATACAATAATCAGATTGGTAGGATTTTTATTTCTATGTCTAAGTGTACAATAAACATTAGCCCAAAGAAGAGATTTGCATTGTACCAGGTTGTTTTTGTTAAATCTATGAATTGTTGATTATACTTTTGCTGTGAAGATCTAAAGAAAAAACATGGGGCAAATGTAGCAACTTTGGATTTCATTTTGATGTACAGTACTCGCATGACTATTAGACACACCTTTATATAAACCAAATGACCAATGATCAAAGAACTCTGTAAACAACAATGAACTTTGAGGAGGCAAACATGAAGTCACGTTAGCATGCTCACCCTACTTTAGCTTCCATGTCGGGACTCATTTACCAATCTATTTTGTTCACAAACTTGACAGCAGCCCTCATCCTAATTTCTCTCTTTCCCTTTCGTCGTCTCTCTCTGCTATTCACATAAACATAAACAACAGCCGATAGTTGTGTCCACATTCTTTTATGCCCCGGGGGATACTCTACCACAATAAAAATAAGTACATCGGCCGCATTGATATACATAGGCTGCAGAGCTTAAAGTACTTGAACAAAAGTAGTGATTTATAGACTGATATTTACAATACACAAAACAAAGCTGTCCAAACAAGAACCTAAAATAATGATAAGAGCCAATATTAACAGCTCCACTATTAGATTGACGGCCTAGCTTGTCTTTATAGAAATGTTATTGCTACACCTTGAATGAACTACTTGAACAATATTTAAGATAAGATAGACTTTATTGATCTCACACATGAGAAATGTACATGTCACATCTGGTATGAATAGAATCACTCCAGATTGTGCAAAAGAAAGAAAACATGTTAAAAGCAGGCTATATTATGTACAATAAAAAGTGGCAATTCAAAAGTGGCAATCAAGAAACAGTGTCAATAAGTAGTGCAGGTTTAACATGCTTTTATTCAATCACCGACATTCACGTTGCTTGAGAACCTTGAAAAAACCATTCATACCCATTGAGGGAGGGTCCCGGCTCAAAAGTGGCCAAAATGACGTGCGCTGACATGCTGCAATACCACCCCGGGCCGATGGGGGGTGGACCCGGAATAAGAATTAGTCAATGCTAACATATAGCATTAGCTGACCTCTCGAAAACGTCTTCACAGGATGGTGCAAAAGTTGGCTCTTGGCCCAAAGCTCTGTTCCACATGTGTGTCAATGCTGAGGGGGGTGTTTTTGGACCAGTCTAGTTTAGTTGCTGTGAATTTTTGCGGTCACTTGTTTAAATGAATGGAGCTCGTGCCGGCTGACGCATTTTTTCACATTTTCCAGCCCCCGCGGCCATTTTGAATCACTCCATGAAAGCCCAATTTTTGGCCCATTAGTTAGAACGGCGGAGATAGGCTTGACTACTGTACGTCCGTTAATATATACAGTCTATGTTCATACCAGGAGCGGACTTGCCTTCCCATAAATTTGACTCGTAACCTCTCGTCACATCACCTTCTGTTTCCCAAGTGTATTGCCTTACCGTGCAACCATCCTGACAAATTACATAACTACTTCACTCGATAAAATGGACTTTGCTTATTTGGCATATTTAGCCGGCTCCAAACACACTCATGATATAATAATGGAGCCGCTTGTTCTGCAGTTGTAGCACAAAACCTCTGATGTATTAAAAATAAGTGCAATGACATCAATACACACAGTGATATCTGGGACACACACAGTTTGATCTGAGCTGAATTTTTCATGATCCTGGAGGGAACTCATCAAAAATTACAGCCGTTTGTGCGGAAATGCGTCTGGAAATTGCAAATGTAATCATGCAACAGAACAGAAATTGCTATAAATACGGTAAAAATCATGTTGTCATTGTATTTTCCATAACAACGATCGTGTTTGGTGTTTCCCTCTACAGTTTCCGATGATCAATGAGTTTGGAGAAGATAACTCGTACTGTTCTTTTGAGAGCAAAGAGACGGCTCTGCTTCATTCGGAAAATGGGAATCTGCTGGAGCGGGTCAACGTTCTGACACATGAGGTACAGTTTTCAGCCAGAGAGCTACTTTTATGCAACAGAAGAGGCAGAGAGCTACTCCTTTTTGCAGTCGTAGTAACTAAACTTCGCCAAAACATGGAGAATACATGTAAAATATACCATAATACTCTATAACCCTGTATTTATACTTGTAATAGATATAAAATTACTAAAAAATGTACTAATTCAAGATCATGTGTTAAATTCTTAATCCTTTTGGGAGCTACCTGAAAGGAGCTGGCGAGCTACTGGTACCTCCCGAGCCACAGGTTTTAGACCCCTGCTGCAGATGACGATAACCCTTTAACCCTTTAATGTTCACTTCCTGAAGAAAGCAATGTGTATTGTTATTATTATTATATTTTCTAAGATGTAGGAGCACTGTTAACACACATGAACCCCTAGTTTTTGTTAATTTATACACTTCAATATAAGCCTTTACCAAGTGGTTGAGATGCAGCTTGACGATAAAAGCGCTTAAAACCAAGTACTAGAGATGCCCCAATGAGGTAGCTTTCAGTTCCAAGCCACCAAACGGTTGAGGAAATCATTAAAGGGTTAAAACAAATCTAATTAAAACTGTCATCTTTGTGATTGTCCGTGGACTTTAACAGATCGCGTTAGTTGCTTGGTCTTCGCTACCCACAATCCTTTACACATTTGGCTCAGTTAGTGCTAGTCTGTCTGAGCTAAAGCACCAGCCGACACCGCGATAAGGCAGATACCCTGGGTGACGTCAGCTCATGCTTAGTCCACTCCTTTTACTATTCAATTATCCGTCTTACCCACTCTAACATTGTAAAATCCTAGAGGGGCTGATTTACAGTCGAGATATCCAGACTCTTCTAAACTCCATCAAGGACAACGCGCACAAGTGTAAGACCGAGCAGAAACATACAAATATGTCAAAATGATGAATGTCTAATGGGTGACTTTACCACATTAGTCAGAGCCAACAGCATTAGTCATACTTAAGAGGTAAAAATATAAGAATGATATAATATGTACTTCTTTTAGCTGTTTGTGGCACGGGGCAACATGGTCAAAGATGCTCTCTGAAGAAAAATGTCTAAAGAGCACGGATTTACCCGAGGGCCAAAGTTTTAGACAAGCTGCATTTACAAATTGACTGGGAAACTTTAGATCAAGACTTAGGGTTATGGGAAAACTTTATCTATTCCCCAACTCCCCAAAACGTGTCTGTGTGATTTCTGTTTGTGCTGCTTTTGTACCACTGCTAAAGAATAAAACTGTTTCTTGCAGATTTCATAGACTCTAATTCTGATACAGTCCTCAAGTATCGTACAACACACAACAAAGCAAACGGTATTAAAGACAAGGGACTTTTAGCGAATTTAGAGGTCAAAAAACACATTTCAACTACTACTCATCTAGTGTATGCAAAAAGGACATTTGATAAGACAAATATTTGGGTAAAAATATGTTCAAAATGTTGAATCTATACACATTCATTCTATGTATTCGTCTTGCAAAGGGAAGTAATGAAATGCAACACAAAGCTGCGTTCAAAGGAGCAGTCTAAGAAGAATATTTTTGAGGAAAACGTGACAGTATAGACCTTTTTATCCATTTTTAGCATAAAACATTATTGGGATCAAACCTGTCTGAATGGCATAGTGGGTCATGCACCTTTTAGGCCCACTGTCCGGGACAAAAATAAAACAAACTAAGATTTTCTCTGTTCTAGGGGTCTGGCTTGTAAAGACTGAAGCAGACATAAACTCCCCCTCAAAGTGTTGGCCGCTGAGGCTTGGCTTACATCTTTGCATTAGGCCTAAAGGGAAATTCCATTGTGCAATAATTAATTCAGCAAAACAGAAATGCAATAGACTGGATAGATATAGACATAGTATTATATTTACTCACCAATATTTTTCATGCATTATATATCAGGCTCAACTTTTCTTGCTCTCTCTTATGTTTTGCTAAAATGTGTAGACTTACGACTGTATTGCAAGTTGTTTTTTTTTTTTTTTACAGAAATAAAATAAGAGAACCTTCATACAGAGTTGGGAAATGTCACCGTTGTAACTCTCAGAACCGAGCAGTGCGAATAGTAAGCGCTCAGAAAAAGCTGAAGAGGAGGCACTAAAAATAAAATGAACCGCTGGAAAATAGTTTTGCATCACCAAGGAAACAAGCAGTACACTTAAAGGAGCAGTATGTAACAAATCTGGCCAAAAGTGGTACTGCAGCCTCTCCCACTCTCCCTGACTCAGGTTGCCAGATATGCAGACGAATCAAGCTGAATAGACAAGAGTTTTGTCAACAACAAATCTATAACCAACACCTTTTTCACAAAGATAGAAATCCTGGTTTTATTCCTTGAATTGTTGTTAATGATTTAAGAATCATAACGAGACCGTGTTTAGCTGTGCGGCCACATGTTGCTTTACCAGTGAGATTAGCTCAGCGCACTGAGTTCTGGCGCCCGGATCACAGACTTTCTGATTGGTGAAACGGTGGAGGGCGGGACATCAAAATGAAAAAATAACCAAATTTTCGGGCTGTTAAACTAAATATCTCTGAACTACTGTTATTAGTTAAAGACGTATGTGAAAAGAGCGTGGTTTATAATGCCTGTTGACAGATTAGGGCCATTTAATGATGACATCACATGAAAATCTTACATATTGCTCCTCTAAAACTATGTTAAATATGACTTTTCTTAACTGAATTAACTTCACAGAATTAAACGTAATCATAGGTTATCATTTATTGAGGCCCAAAACTATAAATTGGATAAATATGAGAAAATCCCTGTTTTTTCTCACTCTTATTGTTGATGTAGAGAACAATATTATTCTTTATTAACTTACAGTACATGTATGTTTTTGCCCATTTAAAGTACCTCTCACTTTGAATCCTTTCATGGCTGCATTGTTCTAATCTAACTCTCCCATTTCTATAATTAGGTTGACTTCTGCTCTGTCAAACAACATGTGATTACAGCATCAGAGAAACTCACCCTTTCATTATGTGGAGAATAGAGCAGCAGGATGGCAAAAGTTTCTCTGGAAAAGGAGAAATGCGATGTTTGAAACTATTGTTTTGAATCGCGATGTCAAAAGTGTCCCCATTTTTACCTTTTTAAGACACACATCTAAGACTTCTACAGAAAGTTAGATTTCCCCATCACTGTCTTGTAGTTTGACTCGGAGGAAGTTGAAAGTTTTTGTGTGTGTGTCGTACAGCTCCAGAAGAGGAAGGAGCGAGAGGAGCAGCTGGAAGACGTGATCCAGGCGTATGAGAAAATACATCTGGAGAAGGGCAACCTCCAAAGAGACCTGGACAAGATGGTGAGCGGCAAACGTTTGAGATAGATTATTAGGCTCTGGGTTTTTTACATGTAGTGTGTGGTGGGGAAGCAGGTGGTGGTCGGGAGGAGGCGGAGGAGGTGGAGGTGAGGAGGAGGTGGAGGTGAGGAGGTGGAGGTGAGGAGGAGGTGAAGGTGAGGAAGAGGTGAAGGCGGGGTGGAGGAGGGTAGGAGGCAGAGGCGAGAAGGTGGTGGAGCCGGGGAGGAGACGGGGAGGAGGAGGTGGAGGTGGGGAGGACTGCAGACTGTGCCAACCAAAGCAATTCACAAGTTGAGGCGAGGAGGAGGCAGGTAGTTTGTGGAGTTGGGGAGGAGGTGGAGCTGGTAATTGTATATAGGTGGAACAAAGCCACTTTTTTATTTTTGAAAGACAAATGAGATGTAGTTTGTTGGTTTAGGTCAATGCTGAGCTACACATCTTTCATTGGACATTGACAATCCAAAGATTATGGAAGACAAAGGTGCTTTTTCCAACAAGTTGTGGACTATGGCTTTATTCACTTGTCAGTCGCCCTAACAATTAAACAGAAATGAACTGAATTTACTACATAGACAATACATACATAGATAATGTTACATAATTTAACACCAAAACAAAAGGCAAACATGACCAAAACGACTCTTACAAATGCTTGATCTTTGGACAATACTGTGATGGTGAATTCTTTTTAAACCTCAATATCAGATTTCTGGCTAAGTGCATGACAGAAAACATTAGACATACTACATTAGTTGGGTTAGGGTTTTCTATTTCTGTTCTCCTTGCTCATTAAAAACCCATTTCCTTTTCAAACAAACTTTTTATTACTTTTTGAACTCTGCAAAGACTCCTTGGCTTTCCCGCACAGGCTGTTTTAAATGCATTACAAAGCAGGTGTGACTGGGCAGACTTGTTTGTTCCCATTTCTTAGATAATGTTTGTGATCTTCCCTGAAGTCTATTGAGTCCTGTTCGGTGCAGACTCAGCAGTTTTATTGGACTGATTTAAAGGGATGAGGTCAGGACTGATTCAAAGGGACGGGGTTTAGTCCAGGACTGACGGATGGCTGCCAAGTGACACAGTGTCAATGTAGCCTCCAGACTCCAATCTGCACTCATTAACATTTCCCATCTCCTGCTCTGGACACACTGACTTCTCTCCACTCGGTTTGGGAATGCTTCACATACACGCAGCTATTGGTCTCACGGTTTACACAACTATATATTACTTACACTAGAATATACAGCATTTTATACAGTACTTGCTTCTTATCAATCAATCAAATGTATTTATAAAGCACGATTCATACAGTGTAACCCAAAGTGCTTCACAAGCAATTAAAAGACAGACAAAAAAAACATAAAAACACTGTATACACATATAAAACATAATGTATTAAAAAGATAAAAGTTACAAACATCTAAAAAATAAATGCTTCAGATTAGTCATATGCATACCTGAATAAGACAGTTTTCAGCCTGGACTTAAACATTGCCAGGGACAAGGCCTGCCTCACAAGCTCAGGAAGACTTCTCCAAATTCTGGTCGCATAAATTTGAAACTCTGCTTCCCCATGTTTAGTCCTGACTCTGGGCACCAGCAGGAGGCCAGTCCCTGCGCTCCTCAGCGTCCGAGCCGGTTCATATGGCGCTAACATGTCTCGGATACAGGTGCGAGGCCATGGAGAGACTTATACACAAGTAGAGCTGTTTTAAAGTCTATTCTCTGAGCCACAGGAAGCCAGTGCAGAGACTTGAGAACTGGACTAATGTGGTCATACTTCTTCTAGTCAGGACTCGAGCTGCAGCATTTTGGATATACTGCAGCTGTTTTACTAAAGTCAGGGGTTTTTGTATGTAAGTCTTGCTTCTTCTTCATGCTAAAAGATTAAGATTAATCACAAGTCAAACCAAGAAACAAAAACATTCAAATCCTTATAATGATATAGTTACAGAAACAGGCGATACGGAAAGATAATTGACCATTTATTGATATTGGATTGGACGATTATGAGGAGATCACAGCCAGACCACTCTTTGTGCAAATGTAGAAAAGTCTGGATAAAAGGGATGGGGTGGAGAATGTTGTACAGTTTAGAAAAAAAATGTGAAAAAGTGACTCCATAAGACGTTTTTCTTTCCGTTTCCTCATTATCTATAACAGCTGTCATTCTGTGGAGAAAAACATACAACAATAGAATCAACCAGACAAAAAAAACACGTCTTTTCATAAATGTGTTTTCATTGTGGGCTGCTTTTGAATACTACAAACTATGCTTTTTGTTTTGCTTATCCCCTCTGCTCATAATACATAATGAGTTATTAAATCATCACAAATATCTTAAGCTGGGAGGAGATTAGGACTGTCTTTCCCACATTTTTATTTTCAGACCAGTTTGGTGGAGAAACACGTGGAGCGGATCCTGGGTCTGGAGGCGGTGCTGAGACAAAGAGACAACTCCCTCCAGAAACTTAACATCCAGCTGCACAGCAAAGACATGCAGTATCTCCAGCTACACTCGGGCCCCGACGCACACAGTAAGGGCCCCGGCTTCTTTCTGTTCAATATTGTATTTGTGAGTCAACTGTAGCAAGAGGCAGCTTCACCGTTTGGTTGAGTTTTATTTTTTATTTTTTATTAAAAGGAACAACATTTCATAGTTCTACAGTGCTTTCCATGCAGCACAACAACAAAAAACAACAGACAATGTGTAATAACTAGGGCTGTCAAAAGTATCGCGTTAATTCACGTTAATTACCGTTTTCATTAACGCGTTAAAAAATCATTAACGCATTAACTGCAATTGACGTGTTAACACGTCAATTGCGTTTCCCGCTATTTTCACGTTCCCAGATGTCTATTGTATCAAATATGTAAGGCTTGAGGCAAGTTTCTATCGAGCCAGCAGATGGCAGCATTGCTCTATGAATGGTTTGAAAACAGCTAGATGCACATGTGTAGAAGGTTGTGAGCAAGTCAAACAGACTTAAGTACATTTGGTTTGAATAACAATGTGTCATTACATTTGAAAATCTCATTTAACTTCATTTGGAGTGGATTTGAAATAGAATGTTGAAAATGCGATTAATCGTGAGTTAACTCACCGTTACTATGCGATTAATCAACTAAAAAAATTAATCGTTTGACAGCCCTAGTAATAACTAATATTTTTTTTCTCTTTTTTTTCGGAACCCACAAAATAATTGGTATTATCACCTGTTAAAATGATAAAACCATAATGCAAAATTGTTGTTGGAAATATATTTAGAAAGCTGTAAAATACCGTGTCAATGCATAGATTGTATATAGATGGACTATGCTGACCCCTGAGCTCAATGAAGCCCAATAGGGAAATGCTCATGGATAAAGTCTTGCTCGATACTCAATCTAGCTCACACTGACTTGCATTGAGAAAGTAAAGTTTGAGTCACACTCAAATTTTAGGCTTCGAAATCTGTGTTTTTTTGCACTATATGATCCTGGGGTTTATATTTTGATATTTTGTTTTTTTAAATCCAGACATGAGCCCAATTGGCTGCCTTTATTCGCAGGGGAAACTGCAGCTTGCCTTAGCAACACGTCTTCCCCTGTTATAGCACTAAGCTAACCCCATTCAAACAAAAGTCCAGCTTGTTTCTGTTCAAATCGACTTCTTCTGATTTTGGCAAACAGCATTTGTCAGTCCACTCAGGTTGAAGGTGGAGGTTGTTTTGTTCTATCTTCCTAAACATTACACCAACGATTGAACAGATGTCAAGTAAAACAACAACACAAATAGCCTTTATACAACAATTTGATAACGGCCATCTTGGACAATTTCTGCAGCCATTTCCAAATCATGAAAACACAAGTATTATGGAGACATCTGGATGCGCACGCACGCTTTCCCCAGGCCGGCTGCTCTGGACCATGGAGACATATGTATGAATAATGTTGCCGTTCGCACACAGTCAGCAGAACAATGGCCGTACATCATGCTCTCTCTTCTCTCTCTGCAGCACACGCTAACTCCATGTGTCTGCAGCCTCCTGTCGCTGCAGAACATTGAACACTGTATGTCCTTGTTGAGGCAGTGGGAGGCTTATAGAGAAAAAAAATCAGACAACTCGTCATCACCACCTCAACAGATGCCTCGACTGATGGCAAAGAAAGGACCCTTCGCATATAGGCATTACATTTATTCAAACGACTTGGATAGATGCGTAGGATATTTCATTATCTAGAGAAATAGCCATTCTGTATTTATGGGCTACAGCAGCGTGCGCCCGTGTGGAAGCTTGATTAAAACAGAGAATACATCTATCTTACTTTGGCGCAGTGTTTCCTGGCTCAAGGACGTAGTGTGTGTTTATCAGAGGCTGAATCATAGTATGCCCACACACCGAGGTACGAGCTGAAAGACATCGGCCTTGGAAGAAGTCAGCTCTTTTCTGGTGGAGTAACAAAAGAAGTGGCGTCAATCGGAGAAAGTACAGGAGTGAAAACAAAACAAGGTGTTCTTGAAGTTTGTCAAATGTTGCGGTTTCAATGTGACTGGTGAAAGGCATACTGTACTTATGAGGCGTTCAGCTCAAATGGATAGTGACTCAAAGGGTTCTGTCTGTGCAGGGCTCTTTCAGCGTTCTCATTGTTCCTGCCAAATTATTACATCAAATCTGCTGGTTATTCATACTTTCTTTTTTTGATTCTTTTATAATCAAAGCCCAAACAATTTGACTTTAATTTGACACTACTGGCTCTTATATCTGATATATATACTGAGATAATATCGTTTGTCCTTTTAAAATTGTACAAAATATTGCAAACAAATCAATAAAGAATCTTATGCCTAAAAAAAGAAGTATCGTTTAACCCTATTGATAAAAAGCACAGATGAACTAAAGCCATCGAGGAAATAATATCATGCCTGATTGATTGTGTTTTCTCTGTGATTTCTTAGTGCTGGACTGCCCGGCCATGACCCTGCAGAGCTCCCGTAGTTTGGACGCGCTGTCGGACCTGAAGCTGCAGCGTTTGGAGGCGGAGCTTGAGGGGGCGCGGCACGAGGCGCAGGGGGCGTGTCAACGAGAGGAGGAGATGAAGGGCGAGTGCGAGAGACTGAAGGAGGAGATCAGGGAACTGCAGAGCGATCAGCGAGACAGGGTCAGTCAAACTAATAACAATCAGAGTGATACTATTAATGCCAAATGTGACATGTAAAGTCCTCCATAAAGTGAGAGCCATAAAGTTTATTTCATCTTATCTTATCCAAAATTGTTTTTGGAGTGAATCCTGCATATTTGAGTGTTTCATGTTCCCCGTTATTAAAAATCATTTTTTAAAAACCTTGTTTTCTCATTAGTTCTCTCCAACTGTTATTTACCTTTTTGTTTCTTGGCTTGTGTTGATGTTGGCGGAGTTGAGCAGGTTTTTTGGCACATTTTGGGATATTAGTGTCAAATTTGACTGTGGCTAGAAAGTGGCAAACTGTTGTTGTGTCCTCAGGCAAGACACTTACCTGCTTGAGTCTGATGTGTGAGTGAACGGTCGATTGTGGTCGAAGGGGCCAATAACACAGACTGGTTGCCTCAGTCTGCCCCAGGACAGCTGTGGCTACAGTTGTAGTTTATCTCCACCGTGTACAGAATGAGTAATGCTGTTTGAGTGTCATGAAAGCGTTTTATAATTAATATGCATTATTATTATCATTAATAATATGAATATTATTATCAAATTATTTATAACATTAAGATTGCCTTAAGCATATGACGTCTTCTCAATCACTATTGAATAAGCGTTTAATACAAATTTGATCAGAAGAGAGACTTTACTTTGCTGTGTTATCAAGGCTTATATTCTATTGTACCAATAATGCTTTATATTCTCCTTCACAGACTTGACAAGCTCTCAAAGCACAACACTGAAGTCAGTATTGGACAGAGAAACCAAAGCTGCCAATCTGTGCATGTATCCAGACCTGCTTTATTTCCATATTTAAAAATAAAAAATTGCTACACACAAAAACAAACAAATGACCCCCACACGCTTACACTGAAATTCATTTGGCAAGGTGGATGACGAGAGACTGTTTGAATATGAATGTGGTAATAATATCTGTTTTTATAGTCACTGTGTACAAGGCGAACAGCTCCATGACAGACAGATGAACTGCAGCAGGGGGACAGTGTTAAACCCAGCTGTCCTTATTGGGAAATATGCCTGTAACCTTGTCAGATTAGCGCTGGCACTGAGCTGCAATGGAGACTGCAGGGCCCAACACACCGGCGCTGAGTATTAACAGTGGGCTAATGCGTTTGTGATTACATCTTTAAAAGGTCAAGGCAATCATTTAAAGCGGTGTGTCGAGGAAGGCGTTGCATGGATTCAAACAGGTTCCATCAGTCGCTATAAAAACATACATCAGGGACTATTGACCCATAAACAATCCATGCCGATAAGCTTTTCTCAACCATGTTCACTCAATAGGCTTCAGCTGTCAAATTGTGTCCAATATTCCTACCTGCCCCTGCATACTAATCTAATTTCACGCTCTACTTTAGCAGGAAATGACTTCGCCATGCAAGCAGTGCGATGTGGAGTGGATAAAGAAGGTGGGAGACGAGCAGTAAGTACCGGAGCATTGTGGGTAAGGTGGGAGGAGAGAGGGGTGAGGGGGTTCAAAGTGCAATTGAATAAGAGGAGACAGCGACGGGAGCATAGGAGTGTGGAGATGGGGATGTCAGAAGTGATCACAAAGGAGATGGGGAGAAGGGCATCAAAGAGGAGGTGGTGTGAGGTGTGCAGCTGTGGACCGAAAGTCAACGATGTAGGAGTCCACAGATCACCAGGCGGCTACGAAGAAACATATTCTAAAGCAACCGTATAAGTATAGTCTGTGCTCTCTCTGTTTGGTTCAAAAGATTCCACTTCCACAAAACCCAGGGCTGGTATCTGCAGATCTATAGGACACATGCAAGCTGCAGAGACCACACCGACATCGACCCAAGCTTGTCTTTTTCGGTCTCTTTCTGCTGTTGTGATTCTGACCCGCCCGAGAGCCAATCCATCAAATTAAAACAGAAGAAAGCGTCCCATTTTTCCCCATGATTTTTTAATGAAGAAAATAAATCAACATTGCAGTAGAGCTGTTGTCGAGCAAGGAAATGCATGATTGATTAAAGATCAGTTGGTCAAAAAGGTTTTTGACAAAAAACTCTCAAAACTATTACAGTAATATGTCTGACCCACTTTAGCTCTAAGCGAAACTTACTGGAGATAAAACTAATTAAAACTCAAACTTATTAACAATTAAAAAATAAATATTCTGCTTACTTGTTTTTATGTCCTAACTTTTGCAATTTTCTCATTTAAATTTTTATAATTTATGTCTATAAATGTGGTTAATTAATACTCATTTTGGTTGAATATGATGCCACAGACTGATTATGTGAGTAAACGACCAAAGACCAGTTGTAATGTTATTAATTCAAGCTTTATTTGATTTTTAAGATAAATACACAGGATACATGGGTCTTGTTCAATCTGAGGTTCAATTGTGACAATGTCAATTTGAAACAAAACTTCTCACAATGTATGCAGGAAATGAGTATTAAATTCAGACTGAGGGAAAGTTACTTTTGCCAACAGTAGGTGGCAGTATAAGCACGAGTGAACTCTGTGACTGCCCCACAGTCATAGAAGTTTTTATGAAAATCCACTTTTTGTGTGTGAATATAATGATACAATAAATTCATAAAAAATAATAAACACACACAATAATTTAACCCATACGGATAAACAACAATATTTGAAAAAAGAGATTATTCGTTTTGACATTTTCAAACAAGTGAATTTTAGGATCAGTCGTCAAGACAAATTGCATCTTGGGTTATTTGAACTTTTTCATCCTCATTTCAGGGGATTTATGTTTTATATTGTTCTTACGCTAAGGTGAGTTGACTGCGGTGTCCCTCCCACACAGTGAAACCCCAAAACTGTTTCATTGGTACAAAGTGAAACTACAGCAGGCACAGCGATGCCTACTACTTTTTCCAAACCTCGGCCACTTCTTAGTTTTAGTCAACAATATCAATCACCCCAGCTGCGGAAGGCTTTTTCCTGTAATTGGCCCATTTAGAGTAAACTGCAAGAGCGGCCTCAGAAGCGGCTGTTGATATGTAGTTAAACCCTAGTTACCTAATGTAACTAAGGTTCTATGAATACGTTGCGAAGCCCTTTAGCTGAGCGGTGCTTCCGAGAGATGCCTAAAGGGCTGATGCAACATATGAAATAGAACCAGCTGATGTACCATGAAGGACCTCTGCTTGTGCAAAGTCAAGTCAAAGTGCATATAGAAAACATACAGGCAGCTATATACACAGACACATTCACTTATATCATATGTGGGTGGAATGATTTAGCTTAACTGTAAGAAAATACTGAATTGTAGAGCTGCAGTCAAGTCCATGTTAAAGCTGATTTTTTTTTTTTTTTTTTTTTTAAGTATGTACGACTATCAATTAACCTGATGTTTTTCCTTTTTTTCATACCGTGGGCAAACTAAATTCCCCCAAACCACAAACCTCACAGTTTTTGTCTCTGACTCACTCCTCTTCACGTTTAGAAAAATGAAACTGATTTACAATAAATTGCAGCTTTTCTGAACCAAGAAGGTGAATGTCTTTGTAGCTTATTCAGTTTAAAACACATTTGAAATTAGACAAAACAGGAAGCGCAATTCTATTCTTTAAAACAATTCCTGGTTATAAACTTTGATCCATGTCACCTCCAAAGTTTTCAATCCACACACTTTTTCATATACTTTTTCGTTTCCTTGATACAGTATATGTACAGACTGTTTGCCCATTTTGTTGATCTTTTGTTGCCCATTTGTGTGGGTAAAGTGCTTTCTTTATGGCACAGAATGTTATATTTTTGTATGGCTCAAATTAAAAAAGCACATCAACAACACAGTATAGCAGTGTATCCCTACCTTTTTGTAGCCGTGGCACACCTTTTTGGTTGAAAACACTCACATGGCACACCACCGGCTGAAACTGATACAAACATGAAACTTTGCAGCTTTTAGTATGAAAGCAAAGTCATTCTAATCAAGGTAGATATATATAGAAAATGAAATGAGCTCAAAAAGTCTTTCCAATCTTCACACATAATTTTCTTTTCACATTATTTTGACCAATTATGTTATATTGGAATATTTCCCAAGGCACACCAAACAACATCGCAAGGCACACTAATGTACCAGGGCACACTGGTTGAAAAACACTGCAGTATAGTATAGATTAAAATAAACAAAATAGATTCAAACAAATAAAATAGAATTATATCATAACATCCAAATGGTTTTATTAAATTTAGCCATATTATTAGTCATTTTATCGTATTTGTCATGTTCTAATTCTTTTCCTTCTGTAATGTATTTAGATAATTGATGACCATTGAACGACACAATACGAATTTAAGTTTTCTTCCAAAATCTAGTTAATTGTTTAATTGTCTTAGCATCCACAAAATGTATTAGTATTTGCCTTTCAGACTTCAATCCACCCACTTTTATGTAGTTTTGATTTGCCAACACACAGACGGAGACATACAAACCCTGGTGACAACATTACCCCTTCGGCAGAGCTAATGAGACGTGTAGTTTTCTGATAGGATGTTAAAGGAGGTCGCTGCAGTGTGTGTGTGTGTGTGTGTGTGTGCGTGTGTGTGTGTGTGTGTGTGTGTGTGTGGGTGGGTGTGTGTGTGCGTGTGTGTGATGTGTGTGTGTGTGTGTGTGTGTGTGTGTGGGTGTGTGTGTGTGTGTGTGTGCATGTGTGTGATGCGTGTGTGGAGTAGTGGGGTGTTTAGCGCCTTTGTGCAGTTCCCCAAAAAGTGTTAAATGCAGAAGTTGTTTGTGCAAAGTGTGAAAAGCCCATCAGTGTGACACGCTGGCCTCGAATATTGTCCTCCGCAGGTCACTGAGTTGCAGCTATAAAAAGATGTTGCACAAAACTCTCTATAGCAACTACTGGCAACACATCAAACTCATCACTTACTATTGGACATTCTGCAATATTTCCGGAAACACACTTTTTTAAAGTTTTTGAGTCACTAAATCTACTTGAAGCTTGGAACTGAAATCTTCCTCATTGGGGCAGTTCTATCACCTGGTTTTAGGCACTTTTACCATCAAACTGTATCTCAAACATTTGCTAAAGGTCTATAATAAAACACATTTTAAAAACTGTTAGTGCTTCTACATCTCAGAACAGGCAGGTCAAGCTCAGGCCCGTGGGCAAAATCCGGCCCGCAAGACCATTTTTAGCTGCCCCTGAAAAGATATTCGATTATCGTTATTATTACAGTAACTTGCAGCATCGATGGGAATGGGATACTTTAAATTCAAGGCTGAATTTTTCAGGAAAACACCCATATACTGTAATTGAATCTGTTCTAAAGTTTTCACTAGTATGTAATTAAAAGTTTATTTTTTTAATATTTATATTTATAAATCTTGATTAAAAAAATTGCACAGTTGTGATGGAATCCAAACCTACTAGAAAATACAAACAAATGTCAATACAATTTGTCAAAATACAAAATAATGATAATAAAAGTAAACCACTTTTACACTTTTGGCCATAACCAGCTCCTCTGTTTTTAAACTTGGCCCCTGACCAAAATGAGTTTGACAGCCCTGTCTTAGAAAATAAAAAAAATGATAAAAAATAAAACATTACTTTGCTTCCTTCAGGGAGTAAACATTAAAGGTTTAAGCAGCTTTTAGTTAAATTTAATAAAAAATAAAGTCAAACGTCATCATTTCTATCCACTACTGGCTGTTCTACTTTCACTACAATGCAGCTGTGTCGCCTCTCCACAGACTAGAGCTGTAACTTAACTTTACCTTTGCCTTAAAACTAGCTACATGTACAGTTGAGAGCATTTCAGAAACATATTGTGCAACAAACCAGCGAAGTAGAAGTTACTACTATTCATCTCAGCTTTTCCCTGAAGAGCCATGAAACATAACAACATAATAATCATGAGGATGGTGATATGGGGACCATATACTACACCCACATTTGTAAATAAAACAATTATTGTTGTTTCTTCAAGGCTCTATAAACTCCATTTATCACTACAGGGCAGATTTACGAGGCAGTTATTCAAGATGAATATTAGAGAGTTACAATTTCCAATGTTGGGTTTCAGAAAAGAAAATGAAGAGGGATGATGTCTAAAGTGGGAGAGACAGAGAGCGGGCTCTGAGTCAGACTGGTGGAAAGCATGGTGGGCAATAATTACACATCACGATGAATTTTCTAGAGGGATTTTGCTTTGATTTGTTGCGCATTTGAAGGTAAAAAAAAATTCAAATACACACACACATATACGCACACACTATCAACATCCTATCTATCTCTTTATAACTTTCAGGCTGTTCAAACCAGGGCTCTCTGTGTCTTATAATGTGACCCGCTGCATTGCTAACCCAGACTATTCTTTGAGATCATAAACACAAGGTCGACCAGTTCATTTCTCCGACTTAACTTACATGTATTAATTAAATCCAACTCTTTCCTTCTGCTGTACGCGGCTGTAAAGCACAGAACTTCTAAAATATAGTTTTGTGTGTATATACTGACAATTGTCTTTGATTGTGTCACAAAATTCTGTCAATGCCGCTAATGTAGCTGGTGAGATGGCCATTTGTCATTCAGCCAACTTCAGCTCCACTACTAACTCAGCTCCAACTATATCTCCATTGATCATAAAGCTCGGTTCAGCCCAAATCTTTTCAAAACGGTACAAAATCTGGGCAATTCTGATTATTAGAAAGTTTGAACGCCTCTTATCTATAACCTCCTCTTCTTTTTGCTGATATCTGTACTGGTGTTTTTCCACATCGGGTGAAGAATAAGCTGGCAAATAAAAAATGCACAGAAAGTGGGGAAATCCAGGCAACATATTTGGTGCTTGGCGGAGTGGGCAGAAGCGATACGTCTTGAATGCACCCGAGTATTAGCTGCTCGTATATTTGTAATGAAAACCCAGGGATTGAGGAGAAAGGCTGTCTGCCATTTTTTATCTGCCGCCATCAACCAGAGAAAAGTTTCAGGATCAAATTGGTTATCGAACTCCGCTCTGATGGATGCCTGATAAAATGGTTGTGACGGGTTCCCATTGAATACGTAATTTTATGTGGATTTGTGATTAAAACGGTTGGCTATTTGGAATACATCAAGATTACAATTTACCATTATCTTTGTCGTGAATTAATTTTCTAATCTGGATGTGAAATGAGTCTATTCCTGGCCGGGAAAGGGCGGTTTATAAAATGGGTTAGACATGTTTTAGATAAGATTATCAGATCTGAGGCGGCAGCAGTGGCTGTATAACTTCCTTTTTTCTTCATCTTTTTGTGTTCAGCATTTTAGCATTCGGCTCTTAACCACATGCACCGCTACAAATATCAGCAAACCCATCTTAGTTTATAAGTGCAGCTTCAGTACTTGGCTGTAAATATTTGGTGTATACAGCACTAATCAAAGTTGAAATATCTAACTTTGAAACAACGCAAATTACACTATGTAGTAGAATTCATCTAACGATTCTCACTCTCAAAACTGTTTGTTAGTATTTGGCCTTTTTCATTTCTTTAGATCACATTTAATAGACAGAAAAGTGACAAAGTGACTAGAGATCTATAGCTCTAGTCTAGAGTCTGGATCTATAGTCTGTCTGTTCATGGGAGCGGATCACTCTCTCGACATGGGCCTTCTCAAAGTTTCTTTTTAAACATTTCCTCTGAGTTTTTCTTATTTTTATTTTTTTTGAGTCGATCCTTGCCGATCCAGGATGGTCTAAGGACAGCAATGATCCAGGATATTTATTAGCATTTATGGACATTGGGCATCTCACTGTCTATGGACCAATGGCTCCGATGTGTTCGAATGGTTTGATTCTCTGAACGACAACTTTAAAAAAGTCCTTTGAAATGACTGCTGCTGTAATTTAGGGCCGTACAAAGTATGCAATGATATCAGATGTGTTTACTTTGCAAGACACCATTGGAACAAACAGAAGGTTTTTTTATTATTTTTTTCTTAGACAATCACAAAGCACAAAACAGACAGCATTTAAAGCAGGATTTGGAGAACTTAACAAAGACATAAGTTCTCCAGATCCAAAGGTACAGAGTATGGGTTGAAGAGAAAATGAAGAGAAACACTAATTATTTTTACATTGCCCTAAAGAGATTTAGCATTAAAAAACTAATCATTAAGCACATATTAGTTAGAATTACAAACAGGTCTAAAATTCAAGTTAATTTAACTAAGAAGCTGAATCTGCTGAACATTTTCATATCTAAATTGCCTCGTAATTTGAACTCATGCATTTTGAGCATACCTGCATTATCAATACTTGTCATTTTAACCTTTAATGTTTTAACCCCAAAAATAACACAGCGTCGAGTGCGTTTCTACTCCAGGGCCTGCTCCCACAATTAGAGAGTCAGTGGATTATAGTCTTTTTCATACATTATTAGTGTCTCTTTTTGAGCTAATGACTCGAGACAGAAAAGGTAATTTGTTGCCATGGTGACACCACACACACGCCTCTGATGAGAAGAAAACATGCGTTGTTCGTGGCCCTTTATAAATAGACATGCTCTGTCAGTGCGGCCCCTGAGAGGGAAGCAAGGCACATCTTGCATGAGATGGTGTGATTTTATAAACGGCAATTATGCAGCGTGACTGTGGCAACCCTAAAAAAAAATATGGGCTCCTCAATTAGAAAGGCGGTGATAAGGATGTGATGCTAGCTCTACAAGTCATTCAGCAGATGAGATAAATAATGATGTGTCAAATTTATCCCAGTGTGGAAAGGTTGCATGGCATGTCTAGAAGAGAAATGTAGCACGTGCACCATGTAAATAATTGATGATAGCTTAAATTTTTGATTGCTAAAATTGTATTGTGGGGTTTTGGCCAGCAATCTGATAGGCTTTACCACAACTGTACCATGTGGTTTTTGATTATTATTCACTCCACACATAATGAGATTGTGATTTGCTTAGAAGCGCTGTTCACTCTCTCTATATTCTGTATTTAAAATCATGTCTTGTAAGCAACTGTGCCATTCTATTCAAAGTGTTTTTTTCAGAGGCCTTGGATGAGAGTGTATTTTTGTATAGAACAATAGCAATATAGAGATGAACCAAAATCATTTGTCTGTTGTGTGTGTTCTTAGGGTGAACCTGGCGCTGGCCTACACGGAGCTCACCGAGGAGCTGAGTCGTCTCCAAACACTGAGCGCCAAACAGAGTGAGATCCTGAGGAAGGCGTCTCAGGAGCAGGCTAGTCCAGGTCTGTACACGAAGCAGGAGAAAAGTGTCAAAAAAGGAAGAACAACAGGAAAGAAAGACATTTGACTTGACAACATTTTAAAACCACTTCAGTATTCTTCATGTGATAACACAGATCACTGCTCTTCCTGCCTAAAAACTTGGTAATGTTGCAAAGTTCTATTTCAGTTGTAGGGTGTTAGTGCAAATAAGCTTGTTTTTGTATAGAAATGTTGAAAATCCTCGCTGATGTTTTTTGAATATTGTCATCACTTCCAGGCACATTTATGAAAACATAATTAGACCATAGTTGAAATGAACTGAGTGAAAAATATGTCAACTTTCATGTGGATTGGCCCAAGAACCCCAGAGAAAAATTTGATAAAACAAGAAGCCTGAAAATTTGACAGTTACCAGGAAAGATTTGACAGCTGCCCTTCACCACAACGATAAACTATTGTCTCCTTGGAATATTGTGTTGTCAATGTTGAACAGGTCAATGTTTCATAACTGCTGATGTTTTTAATTTCTATATGTTGGACCTGTCCAGACAGCTGAATATGTGCAAAACTGGCTGCATGGTTGGTGGTGCTTTAATTAATCACTTAATGTATGCGGACGACTTGGTGGTGTTTAGTCCGAGCTCAGCCGGTCTCCAGCAGTTGTTAAATGTTTGCTCTGAGTTTGGGGAACTTCAGGATGTGAAATACAACTCTAGTAAGAGTGTAATCATGATCTGCCGGACTAAAGATGACAGATCACTGAGGTTTCCGGACTTTAGGCTCTCAGGGAACATATTAACTGTGTGTGATGTTGTAAAGTACCTTGGTCACATCATAACTGACCGTTTGACCGATGACGAGGACATGTACCGTCAGTGCAGGATGCTATATGCACAAGCGAACACTCTGTCTCGGAAATTCTCCTCCTGCTCTGTTCAGGTGAAAGTAGCTCTGTTTCGAGCTTACTGCTCACCTCTGTACACAGCACATCTGTGGGTTAATTACAAAAAGTCCAGCTTTCATAAACTTACAGTTGCTTACAACGATGCGTTGAGAATTTTATTAAAAAAGCCCCGATGGACTAGAGCCAGTGAACTCTTTGTGTCAAATAGAGTAAACACTTTGCAAGCTGTCCTGAGAAATCTGATGTTTAAGTTTATATGTCGGCTGAATGATTCAAAAAATTCGGTGATTATTTTATTGTCCAGTGTTGTGTGCAGCGAGGTGCGATACACATCGCTGCTTTGGAAACACTGGTATGCCTGCCTCTTGAAAGATTAGAGGTTTTTATTGTCTGTTGTTTATTTTATTTTATTTGTTTTCTTGTCTTGTGATTTGGACCTTGAGTCCGCAAATAAAGTTATCTATCTATCTTTTTGTTTGCACGCTCTAAATTGAAATCGCCCTTAAAAGTGATTAAACCTGTTCTGTTTCGGCCCTCAGTCCAGCGCCACTCCCCCATCCAGAGGCACTCCCCAGTGTCCCAGCGTCACTCCCCCATCTCTCAGCGTCACTCCCCGGCCCCGCTGCCCCCCCACTCCCCTTTACAACAGAGACGCTCGCCCGTTCTCCAGCGCCTGTCCCCCGACATGCACCGCCGCTCCCCCATGCTGGACATCAGTGACCACGGCCCGGCCTCCTACTCCTGCCGGCCCGCCTCCCAGCACCTCCGCGCTAGCTTCCAGGGCAGACGCAGCTACTCGGAGGTGACGGACCCCTCTGCGTACCACTGCCCGCCTCGCTTCTCCTTAGACCCGGTGTCCACTCTGCCCAAGCCGCGGCCGTACATTGAGAGTTACCCCAAGCAGCCATCTCTGGGCTCCTCTCACGGCGGCCATCAGCTGCGCAGCCCGACCTCCCCCCTACAGAGCCCGCTGTCGGACGGCCCGCTGGGGGAGAGCTCGCTGCGTCACTCCAGGGAGCTGCCCTTCCCGCTGTCGGACGTGGCGCACTTACATTTCGAGCCCCCGCCCCCCTCTTCACCCGCACCCCATCCTCCGCAGTCATCGGAGGACGAGGAGGAGTGGACTCAGCCTATCAGCCCGCCTCGTACTCTGGGGGTGCTCAGTCCCACCATGGGCCCCGGCTCCATGAGGGGTCCGGCCTCCTGCACGGCCTTCCCCATCCCCCAGAGGCCCAACACGCTCAGCTGCCACCCCCAGGGTTACGTGTCCGCGGAGCACGCACAGTCATGGCCCTCCATCAACGTGAGTGACTTTAACTTGAGCAACACCTCTGACAAAACTCATGAAAACACCTTGATTGGGACTCTCCCCATTGGTTTGAAGCTGGGGCACTTAACTTTCAAACCCAAAGAAATGCATGAAATCCACCTAACTAGTCCTATATCGCAAAACAGTTCACTAGTTTTTACAGGTCTGTATATATTATGGCCTCTGTCACATCTGTAGGTCAACTTTTTCAGGCAGAAAAATCTAAAAAGAGGACCACTGTCAATCAAATTTCAGCGTAAAGCGCCGAATAGGGTCTCCTAGGGCGCTTTGAAAGAGAAAATGAACACTTTGTAATCTGAAATGTTACTTTTATTCTTCCTGTTGGGGCAAACACAATTATGTAGTATTTATGAAGAAAAAAGGTCAAGTGCCTCAGCTGTAATTATTCTCCTCTCGCAGATCTTACTGTCGGTTATGGTTATTTTTTATAAGCTAAAAACTAACTAACAAACTAAATATATGCACTCATCTTTCCAAACACACACATGACCATAATCAGCATAATCAAAACCAGGGTATTTTTCACTGTCCACAAACTATACCAGAAGTTGTCCCTTGAATGAATCAGGTGTATTTAGCAGCGTGAAGTTGCTGAAGAAGTGTGAAGTGAGAATTCTCCGCTGCAGCCGCCCATTGAATGAGTAACGGCACAGAAACTATACGCACTTTTGATTTATCTAGTGCACTGCCTGTGTTTCAGTTGTGGATGGAGACGGAGGAGAGCGACATGCGGAGCTGCCCCTTGTGTCAGCTCATCTTCCCCGTGGGATATCCGGACGACGCGCTCATCAAGCACATCGACTCCCACCTGGAGAACAGCAAGATCTGATGAGGCACTTGTCCTGTGCACAGTGTGAAAGGCCTAGGGGACCACACAGACAGGGCTCTAGAAGGAGAGCGGTACCGGGATGTTGCAATTTGCTCTGGGAAAAGTGGACTCACATTAGTTCTGAGGTTGCTTTGCACGTTTGCTATGGTCAAAGCTGCTGTTTTGAGTGTTGTCGCGTGGTTACAGGCAGTTTCAGGTATAGTCTCGCTGCTTCAAAGTGTTTGTTTTGGCTGATTTTTATTTTAAAAAAAGTAAAGTTGAAAGGATCTGGACACTGTAAAAAATAATATGGCAAAATACTGGGGATTATGGTTGCCAGAATATTACTGTGAAAAAGTAACACATGGCAGGACATTTTTTTATAATTGCTGTACATTATGAAATAACGTGTATGTTTTTGGTAAGCCTATACATTTCAGATTGAACAGACGATGTATAAGAGTAATGGGCGATGACCATTTTATATAAAGTAATCTTTATCAATTATGTATTGTACATTCAGTAGCCTATTTTACAGAAATATTCTGATAACATTTTCTGCCAGTATTTTATTGTGTCTTTACAGATTTTTCTTACAGCGTTTAACGGGATTATTTAAATGATCAGGGAGAACAGAAGTGTTACGATTTAGCTTTAACGCAGATAGAATTTTCTATGTTTCACTTTTAGTACATTTTGCAGAGCAGTTTGTGCCAAGGACAGACAGATGTTACCACTTTGTAACAGAGAAACCCGTTTTTAAAGAGACGTTATCTCCGGAGGTGACAAACTGAACGTCAGCACCAAATTTTAGTATGGTTTCGACCTCTAATTCTTAAGTCTTCTTTGAACATCCATAGACAAGACTGTTAATACCACATGGTTATTGCATATATTTTTTACAATTGAAACAATATTTATGATGCCTTTGAATTTTTCAATAGAGACAAGTACAGTTGCCAGTTCACTTCTTTATCAAAGGGAAAAAGTTTGTAACAACAGCATAACATTCCTCTGGTCAGCAGATACAGCAGCAGTAACAAAGTCCTGACGTGTTTGAGGCGCTCTGCAGAAAGGGCTCGGCCAATCTCTGGAAGTGGAAGGACCTTTTTAGCCAGATATACCTTTATGCTTGCGGCCTGTGGAAAAGTATCTTAGCACTTTACGTTAGCATAGCCTATACAATGTTTTTGTTCTTCTTGTAAGATATTGATTTATATTGTTTATCTGTAATTTTTGGAGGCAAGAAATATGAAGATATATTTTTGCAAGCAACGACACATGTTTCACATCCGATATGCTTGTTGTACATAGAAGAAGTTTGATCCGCCATGGCACATAGAAGGACTTCACTGTACAAAGGCTGTAACAATGGTCTTCCTAAACATTTGCCCTTCGAATAGTTTGATGTCAAGACTGCCCAGACAGCCCAACAAAAAAGAAAAGGAAAAAGCCGATCCACAAACATATAGTTTTACACAGTCTATTCTAGGCTTAAGGTTATGACCATCCGTCCATTCAGAAATAAAAGTTAAATTCAACTTTTTCATCTTATCCTTCAATTTCTCTAAACCGCTGAGTCTGCACAACTGCATATGAAAGATGTGTGACAGTGAGAAAACGACGCAATGCCAAAAGATAACTTCCACCTTCAAACAACATATTTCACACTCCATAACATGGCGTGTTTGGTAATCTATCTTGCACACACGGAAAAGATTACTACTGCTGGATTGAAGCAGTTATTATGCATGCCAAGGAACATGCCAGTTGTTTGTTTTTTTTTGTGGCGTGTCTTTCCTACACGAGGCAACACAAAGCGCTTCACAACCCATGTCACGTCAAGCATAAATCAAAAACATTCAAATCTACACAAACGTGAAAACGAAAAATACAAAAAAAATACCACAGAGCTTTAAAAACATCAAGATCACAAGAAATATTAAAAACAAAATAGATAAAAACACAAGTAATTAAAAACATAAAGCACCACAGCACATAAAACAGAGTAAACAGACATTTAAACAGATGGGTGGTCGTAATGTTTTGCCTGGTCGGTTGTATTGTTAATGTTATTTCTGCAGGGTTTACAAACACATCTATCCATTTACTGTTTATCGTTTCATACATGGGTTATTTTCAAATACCACAACCTCTCGTAGAAACAGTTGCAGCGATGTCAGCGTCTCTCAGGCTTTGAGGTGAAAAGTTTCTATTGTTGAAGGAAGGGCGTCCAGTTTAATAGCCGACGAAGGGCCACTAAAAGAAGTCAGGGTTTTTACTGACTCACAGTTCTTTCATGTACTTTTGTGATTTCCTGTGTAATATAAGCTGTGTACAGATGTTTGCAAGTGTGTGCGGCTAATGCTAAATGTATCTTATCTGACTTCAAATTGGAGTGACTGTAAATTAATATATGAATCCCAAACGCATATAACCCCAATGTTTTAGCCGTAGTGTGTCCCCTGCTAACTGCCCAGGCTCCTAAGTTGCAGCTGAGTGACGTCTTGTCATTCACACCACACAGTAACACAATAAAAACAAATAAACAAGAACAAAAGTTTTATTGGCTTCTAAAATATGTGAATGAACAAATCTTCTATGTTTACAAAAAAATAAAAATAAAACAAGCTAATGGATGTTGCCAGATTCAGACCAAAACCTGTATTTTAAACACATATTTGAAAAGTATTGAGTAAAAGCATACAATATTTTTTCTCATAATGTCTGAAATCAAACAATAAAAACTGTTTAACCTTAGTCTTCAGTCATCAAAAGGCAAATTTGAACCTTTTAAAAAATAAAAATAAAAATTCCCTTTTTTGTGACTTTATTAAACCAACAAACAAAAGTAAATACATACACGCACACACACAGACACACACACGCACATGCACACACACACACACACACGCACGCACACACACATGCACACACCCACACACACATGCACACACACACAGACACACACACATGCACACACACACTCATTGTAGTTTTCAATTTGAATTTGAAACACACTCGTTGCTTTTCCAAATGTCAAATATCTCGAGTGTTTGTTATGTGATGTGTGCCTCTGATAGGCTGATAAGAATATTCTGATCACAGCAATGGATAATGCAACACATTACACACAAGCCTTTTCTGTTATCCATAATTTCACAGACAAATTAAATGATATAGAAATCCTAAACAGTACATTAAGTGAAATCTATTCTATCATAATAAATGCGCTTTGGAGCCATCGTTGATTTCCAGAGTACAAACACAAATTGAATTCCTGTAATCTGAATTTGCGCATGTTTGAAAGTGGCTGCATTGTGGTTACTGCAGTTGTATGTTTCGGCGTCTGTCCTGAGTGACCACACCTGCCGCTTCTGCTGTTCTGTGCTGCACCGCAAATACATGCACACAAAAAGAAAAGGAGGCTGCTTTTGTGCCCAACTTATTTACACATACAAAACAAAAAATCATCTTGTGAATTTGTTTTTATGTATTTTGTTACTCAGGAGTCCCCCCCACAGTCAACAAACCCAATTTCTACACCAGACCTCTCGCGGCTTTGAAATAAAAGTGAAAACAAAATTACCAAAAAGTACAGACCTGAGTCACGTCCCCCACTTTCCTCAGGAGTAAAAATGGCTACCTTCAACAGAAACCCCACTTTGTACAACGAGTTCAGGGTAAAGTGCGCATATACTGTCCAGTCTCCACACTTTTAAACTGTAATTATGACAAAACACAACTGTATAAATATGTTCCCCATTTGTCTGTAAATATTTGAATAAAGTTGGAGTCATTCATTCCATTTAACTTGGATTTTCTATAAAGCAATTTCCAGTGTTTAGTTAAATTGATCAGTTAAATAATGACTAATTATGACCAATTCAACTTGCCAAATCCCACAGACCATCTCGTCATATATTAGCCACTGTTTTTTAATGAATATCTGTTCTGTTTTTTTAATGTGTAGTTTTTATCCTAGGAAAAAAAAATGTATTATTGTTATTGACATTATTTTGTAAGAATCATCCAAATAAGAAAAAATAAAAATCTCTAATGCTTTTATTCATGGTTAATACGGATTCATATCTGGTTGATACTTTCTAGAAGTTTCATTTGGGGTCAGTTAAAGGGGCATTATGCTAATTTTTATCACAGTGGTCTTTGGGATGCTATAGGAGCAATTGTTTGGAAGGTTTTCTCTGCTGACTGAACCCTCCGCTAGGAAACTTACAAAATTACTGATTCTAGAGGTCTACAGACACAGCGTGATCAAAAGTTTAGGTACCCTGCTGACCACTACAGCCACTGGGTCAACACAATAAAAAAAAAATCTCATAAAAAGTTGGCATAGATAGGTGCAAATCTAATGTTGTTTTTGTGGGTGTGGGAGTGATTAAAGAAGCTAGTGTGGAAGGATCCAGCTCTAAGCACAACTTTTTATTTCCATTGGCAACACCTCCAGAAAGTTACATATCGTTGCTTTAAAGTTACAGTTAGTAACCTTTTGGTGGAAGATTCTTTATCAACACCTGAAGTATTATGGCCTTCATGTGAAAGATTAAAGAATGGAGTCCAGCTTTACCTCATACAGTATTTGTAGAAAGCCGCTCATAAAAGGCAGGTTTTTTGTTTTTTCTCGTCATCACTTAATTTTTACACTTATACATTTGAGTTGTGTGTCAATAAACCCAAAGTTGTGCACCTCAGGAAAGGTGCACCACCCATCCGGGCCTCAGACCACAGAGCCCCGCAGCAGAAGCCAGAGCCGTATACACGAGAAAAACCACAGGCACATTGTCAATAAGTGATGAAACACACGGTTTTGGCCCAGCAAATACATTTATGGACTCAAAATAACAACATCCTCTACAAGGCGTATATATTTCCTAGAAGACACATCCTTTCCTATAAATGCTTCTACAACATTGGTTTAGTCTGAAAAGGTTATATTCTTTGAACTGGTACCTAAAATCCATTCATCAGAGGAGAAATTAGGACTTCATTCTACCAATAAA